AAAAAAAAGAAAAAAAAAAAAAATTTTCGTGACTTACGAACTTTACTTAGGCAGGCTGTAAAATTGTATGACTTTGTTATATGCTTAGCACATTTTGTAATTGTCCACGCGTACATGAGCGTATAATTGATTCGTTAAGCTTTTTGGCAAAATATCGTTCAAGTAAACCTACCAGTTTGCGGCTGAAGATCAATGAGATGTGCCCACATGTCCTTAGTCGCCTGGGTAAAGTAGCCGATCTCGGCGTTGGGATGAAGGCCAAAGACTTCCGGTGTATTTACAAGTGGCAGCGACTCGATGAACTCGAGGTAAGACTGCCGATCTCCCGGGATCGGCACTACGTAGTCCACTTGCTCGTCTTTGTAAAAATGATACGGCTGGAAGGCGTCGAAGAGGAAATCGCCAAAGTACTCGTCCATGTACACTTTGGAGACTCGCCGATCGTAGCTGTCTATGACTCGGCCTCCGTACATTACCTGCCGGCAAACAATTTCATTGTCGTTTTTTTTTTTTTTTTCTTTTTTTTTACACTCGTTTACACAGTAATTAAACAGAAAATATGTGATGATAAAAAAAGTGAACAATTGTAACTCAGGAACATACTTCTTAAAAATGATGAATATTATAGGTATATCAACTGTACAAAATTTCCATCTAACAATAATCACTAAAAAATGTTCAATTATCTAGCTGGAATAACAATTAAATTTTAAATTAAAACCACATATTTTTTTTTTAGACCATTAAAAAATTGTATGTTTGAAAAGTAAGATTTGAATATCGTCACACACATTTTGTTTAAGAAATCCTGAGATTCGAACCGATTTACAGTGAATCTTCTCGAGCGATCACAAGATACACTATAATTATGCTAAAAGAGTATACGCATATCCATCAAAGTTAGCGATTTAAAAACGTTAAGGAGGATACAGATTGATTGTGAGTTGAAAAAGTATTATATCAACTGAATATTAATATTGCAATATTTTTTTTGCAACTGGTCCAATATAAGCGATTGATTGGGTGATACTACATTCATCAAATATTTATGGAGTTTTCTTGCAACAATTGTTTTTATTTACATATATTATAGGTAATGGAAAATAAGACAATCATAGCTTTTTTACTTACAAAACGTTAAGCGTTACAAAAATATGATTTTCATTGGATATATACAAACGAATGATAAAAAAATGTTTGGTCACACATTTGTACATTGCTCGAGTCGAAAACACTGCATTTGACGCAGCACACGCGGATCCGTCTCTATTGTACGCACACGCTATAAATTTTTTTTTTCATACATTTTCTTCTCCTACACAATTTATGCTAATTGTTATTATATCTGCCTATTTATATATATTTGTTTTTATAAGTGTATAATATAATATACATACTTTGTATATAAGCCCAAAAAATCGTCCCTATTAATATTTTTCATTTCATTGACAAATTCTTCGTTTAATTTGTAGGAAACATTCTTTTCTTTCCATTTAGAGAATATGCTTGACAACACAAGGATAAAAAAATTTTCTTTGATTTAAATAATTGAGGGGCTTCGGTACGTACCTCCTTTTTTTCTTGATTCCCGTTTGCAGGGGCTGTACACGTATATATACATTTCGAAAATCTTAACAGTCAATAATGTAGAAAGATTAAAAAGAGCTTGCTATCCAAGTTTGCTCGTCAACTGTGACGTCGACGATTGCGAGCACTAATAGTTCAATCGAGTGGCTTGTGAGATAAGAACGATATTTTGTGAAAAATCGGAAGTTCGAGGTTGTCGAGGCGCCCGTTTTAAATTCGGTCACGAAAATTACTACGATTTGGCCTAATCTTAATTTGATACTAGATACTACCAGGAAACAAACGGTATTTTTGTCTAAAACTTTGCGTTGAAACGTAATTGCCAACCAAGAAGGCAACGGAAAGCTCCAAAAAACTAGAGGTAACAATAAATTTCACGGCAAACAATGTTTTTCTCAGAAATGCTAATACCACTTGTATTCATTACTCAGACGTCACAGACGTTGATGACGCGTATACCAGAGAGAAATATATAAAAAATCGCAAGTGTATACGCGAAAGAACTGCGAGTGATAAAAATCCGAACGCAGATTTTATCTGTCGTATAGCATTGTTGTGATTTATACGCATTGTACTCGTAATATGCGAGGTAGCTGCGTCTGATTTCAAGTGGGTTTAATCGATAATTTTACAGATAAATACATTTTGACTACTGTATACGTTGAAATCGTCGCGCTTGTGCTGTTTGTTGGTTCAAGCAAACGAAATGTGTATTAAATGTAGTGGTGAAAAATTTTGAAAATTATTGTACACAAATTAACTTTTCAATTTTAATTTTTTTTTTTTTCCTTTTATTATCATTACAATCATATGCACATGCTTTTACACCCTCGCGTATGTAAATATACGCCTTGGGTCTTAACAATTTTTCCTCGGGAGTGGCAATGTTTTGTTTTGATATTGACGCCAATCGCACCTATCTAGGGTCCTCGTTTCAAAAAACTTGAGGACCGCATGCAAATTAAAAACTGCGACAATATAATCATGATTATCTTAATTTTTGGAAAAAAGTATACGATGAAAGAAATTCTTCTAAGCATAAATTACTTTTACGTCGCACACAAAGTTCACAAGACTCTAAGCCAATGTAATTTTTACAACCATTTTTTACAATATTGTGTCACCAAAAAACTTTTCTTTTTTGCGTGAAAAAGTTATTTTACGTTTAATACCTTTTTTAGAAAATAGTTTTCACAGCATTCCAAAGCGCTAAACCTTAAGCCTACACAGGTTGATACGCTGAGACTTTTCGTGTCTCGTTCACAGTTCTTCACTTGTGTGTATACTTTCGTCATTATCGCACTCGTACCTCCACAGTTTTCACGTAACTCTTACGCACCGTTCGAAAATAGAGCCAAAAAATTTCCATCGGTTTGCTTATTTTTTTTGTCTGCATACCTTTACTTATTTACAAGCTTTTCTCTCAATCTCCTCCTTACTTCAAACTATAGATTACAGTATTACTTGTGTGGAAATGCATGGGATCACTTTTCAAATTTTACAATTATTACTCTATTATTCTTTTTTATTTTCTGTTAATATATTTAAAAATATTGCTTTACAGGACTCGTAAAATTTTCATTACACGTACATGGGATGCCTCTGCAATGCTTGAAAATATTTTTATAAAAATTTTTCAATGTTTATTTTACACTCTGGTAATGTCCGTCAAAGAAGAAGAATCATTGAATGCACACTCGAAACAACCGATGAGGATTGCATAAGTAACATAGCATTTTGAACTACGAAAATTTTAAAAGTGAGAAAGTGCTTCGATAATTCGAGGAAAATGCAATCATTGTACAACATGCAAAAACTTGCATCGCATTACTTCAAGATGTCGACCTAATCCTCGCAATCATGTTCATTCGACCATCAAATATGCAATAGAAAGAAGTAACTTTGTACATCTATAAAAATCATCATATCCTTGGATATTATTATTTTGCTACGAGATTTACTTACTACGTATTATCGAGGGAATGAAAAGTGAAATCTTAATTCAAAAAGTATTTATCACAAACGGGTGTATAATAAAAAAAAAAAAAAAAAAAAAAAAAAAAANAAAAAAAAAAAAAAAAAAAAAAAAAAAAAAAAAAAAAAAAAAAAAAAAAAAAAAAAAAGAAATAAAGTATACAAACAAACACATACCCTCGCAAGCTCTCGGTCGAGGAGAGAGACGAGGCCTCAGACACTCTCCACTTACCCGAGTGCATGCAACTAAACACGTCGACAATTCTAATAATAAACGTCCATTTGGCCAAGTAAAAGGACGTGGCGAACAAAAGAAGAAGAGAAACAAGAAAAGTTCCCCTTTTTTTTATTTCAAAACTCGCGTGGATTCGTCGTTATTTTTCATTTCCGACGTTCACCGTCCACGAGGCAGACGCTCCCTTTTCACTCGTATCGCCTTTCGTCCGCGTACATATATTATGTATAACAATCGATACCGCAGTTGTAACGCGTTGTTACGTTATACAAAGCGCGCGTACACACACGTTGGCCAAAATCCAACTTTTCGAGCTTGGGTGTGCTGGTCAGCGAACGAGAGCACAAGTGCCATTTTCATACGTTTTTTTTTTTCCGTCGACAAATGATTTAAGAGAAAATAGCTTCGTTTCGGTTCACAGCTGGCAGACGGGGATTTACGACCGTTGTTCTGCCGTTTCATTATGCCTCGTGTGTATATGGTACTTATAATTAAAATACACGACCACTCCGCGATGTGTACGTATATGTTAAAGGGTTGAAAGTGCCATTTATGAACAATAGAGTAGAAGAAAGAGAAAAAAAATACACGTAATAAATTGGAGCGTTTTTATAACAAATTCTGAAATTTTGAAGAAGGCAACAATTGAAAATCGTACCTCCGAGTCCGAAGAAATTAGAAAAAAAAAAAAACCTGAACCCATACTCTTTTTAGTTTTCCTTTGTGCCATGTCACCTTTTTCTCTTTCTGAGCTCTTATCGCTCTCGACGTCACGCGAGATCCCTCGAGAGGCCGACAATTGAGAGTTTTCTTCCTTCTTGCGAAGGTCGCGTGCACGGCGAGCTTCAGCGTGCTTTTTTCGGGACTTTTTTTCAGTATGCGAGAAATCACATACGGACTTGCACTCACTTGGCTAATTTGCATCGTAAAAATAAAGTGGTTGTGTGTGTGTGTTTTTTTTTTGCTCCACAAAATTACTTTAACTGATCGAATAATAGAGAAAAAAAGCGCAACTCCACCCTCCGGACTTATCGTTTATAATGTGAAATTCGTTTCGCTCACTCGTCTCTTGTTTCGAGCTCAGCTTTATTAACTTTTTAACTTCCGGGGTTTCTTTTCTGAGTTACGGTTGTAAGATGGTGCAAAGTTTTCTACCGCGTAGAAAAATGTAGTAAGGGTGACCGTGAATAATTGCTCAACCCTTAAATTTCGGTCACAACGAGAGGGACTGAAGATGAATTTTACCGTATACGTTGGCAAAACTGATGATAATCGACCGTCGTGTATTACAAAAGAAAAAGACAAATTCTAAGCTTATTTTGTCGATAATCCACTTATTCCGCAGAGAAATCCAATAACAGAAATTTACGCAGTTCACATTTCCTTCGTGACATTCGGACTACAGACAGATTTTGGCACGGATATACTTTTTAAACATTTTTTTTCAAATATATATATTTTTCTTAACACGTTTAACGCGAACAGTGATTAACATGATTTGGGGAAAAAAAAACAACTTTCATTTCACCCTTAAAAAATCCATAGAACAGTCGTACCCAATTGAAGTCCGACCACGGAGTTAAAACACGCGCGTGTGTACGAAAACGTACGAATCCGCGGATAAAAATTGCTGGAGTCGATTAGACGCGAGAACAACCTTATACATTGCATAATAATCCTATACATAAACTTCGCGGAGCAAACGCCAACAGTCGCAATAAGCCAACCGCAGTATACATATATGCATATGTTACGCGTTACTTAACGCACGCGCGAAAGAAAGAAAAATCATTAAACGGCGAACTTGAACGGAAGAAAGAGCTTACGTAGAGCGCCTATAGGCTCGCCAGGGTCAGCCGGGGCGAAGTTTGCCGAGTTCGCGGCGTAAGACAGCCTAAATTCCATACCGAGTGCTGTACAGATGAGTCGCTTCAGTTCGCAAGGCGGGCCCAATCATCTCCTTAACTTGACGCTCCGCGCGTCGTTGTATTTTTTATGGACGAGAGCAACGCGCTCGTGGCTTATTATTGCGAGGTATTATTGTTTAATGGAGCGGGACAAAGTGCTCGCGAGTGTAATTTAACGAACAAGCTTATATACTCTCGTTATATTTCATGTTGCTTTTTTTTTTTTTTTTTTTTTTTTTTTTTTTTTTTTTTTTTTNTTTTTTTTTTTTTTTTTTTTTTTTTTTTTTTTTTTTTTTTTTTTTTTTTTTTCATGCGTTTTGTGTTTTATTACATTTCTTTTTCTGTTGTCAGTTGGATTAAACATTTGCCGAGACCGTACATCATCGTCTTATGAAACGACCTTGGCGTGTGTATACAACGGTGCATCACAATACCTATTAGTCTTGGGAGAAATTGTGATGGAAAAAAAAAAAAAAAAAAAAAAACACCGATATACCTGCAATAGGCGGCCCCATGAGATTGGCGATTCCTTGGACAAAGAGTAGCAGGCCGTAGGCGTTGGTGAACCTTTCTATGGTGATCGCCTGGACGAGTATGATGCTGGTGAGGCTGTAGTTGGCCGCGATGAAGAAGCCAAAGGCACCGGCAATGGCACTCAATAGATAGTAACACTTGATAACCGTGGGTATGAGAGCGGCGAAGCCACCGGTCATAGCCATGCAGATCGCGTAGACCACCGTCGCGTTGATGCAGGCGCGATCGCCCACCCAGCCCAGCAAGATCTATTGGTGGGAGATTTTTTTTTTTTTTTATAGTTGTACATGATTTTTTTTTTTTTTTTACCATCGATGGAGCATCTTAAATATGAGGCCAAAAAAAGGGGTTGTACCGACATCACGAGTGATTAACGAGACTCCGCGTTGAAAGTACAGGTATAGGATCATATATTTTACTTAATCTCGTTAGGCAAAGTGATTCGAGAGGAAATCCATCGTATAATAATATATCGAAATGCTCAGGGTCACTTGGAATCGATAAAGAGCCAACGCGCAAGAGTTAAGGTCGAGCGATCGGCCAAAGTTTCATCTCGTATCAACTCAAACGAGACCATTAATTTGTTGCACTAAATCATATATATGCGCATTATAGCATAACGCGACAAAACATGAATCATATTTTAGCGTCGGATACGGTAACGCTACAAGATTATATATCTCATTTTCCTGCACGTGTGTCGTTAAACCTCGTGAACGTTGCACCCTTGCTTCGCTTGATCGCACGTCATCGAAACAACAAAAGTCACCCCGTCCTTCAAATGTATATATGTACGGCGCGTATAGTGTCAGAGCATCGGCTTAGTCCAGGTATACGAATCCTATTACAAAACCAGCGCCCATACGTGTACGTTTTCGTGCGGAAGTCGCGGATAAGTGAAAAACGGGTAAAAGGGCGGTTGGAAAAGAAAAGAAAAGAAAAAAAAAAAAAGGAAAAAAGTAATAATCCATAGGTCACCTCGCCGGCCATGTTCATGATGCCGATGACGGATATGAGGTAGGAGGCCTCGGTCTCGCTGAAGCCCACCTCGATGGCGTTGTCGGTGAGGTACATGTAAGGCACGTCGTACCAGGTGTGGAGCAAAAAATTGCTCATGGCGAACAATGTGAACACGGGCTCGCGAAAGTGCGTTAAATCGAAGATGTTGACGATGAGCTCCTTGAACTCGCGCAATCCCGAGTGGCCGGCCTCCTCCTTGGCAATGGTGGTCATGGAGTTGCGCAGGATGTCGGGACAACTGCTGGCGCGCAGCCGGTACCTGTTTATGTTGAGCATGGCGCCGCGGTACGTCAACGAGTGCCGGTGCATCCTTATGTCCTTCAGGTAGGCGGTCGTGAAGCGCCGGGGATGCTCAGCGGCGATGGACGACCGGCGTAGCCTCGCCTCCGGCTTGTCCCTCGACCACCACTCGGCCACCTCGCCTTGACGCTCCTCCTCCTCCTCCTTCTTCTTCGTTCCACAAACACAAAAACAATATACACATGTTATTTTTCCCTGCAATCATGTGCTTTAATTTTAGCCAATGTACGCACTCGAAAGGGGTTGTCATGGCACTGCACTTTTGTATTGATGTTATTGAAAAGTCAAATCTCAAAAACTTTGAGTTACCCAAGGCAGGTGTGTGTGTAATGGTGGTTTGCGTGAAATATAACGTACCTGTCGTTGCAACAGCTCGGGTTTGTCGTCCCGGTGATGGGGCTCCCCCTTGTCCTCGGCAGCCAACGGACTGACAACCGGCACGAACCTAGCCGAGGGCGGACTGGTGGGCTCGTGCAGGCCACTCGAGTCGCTGAAGCTCCTCGACGTGATCATGAGGCTCGGGTAGTTTTGCACGAGCACGTTGTACACGCTCCTCTTGGCGCTGAGCAGCTCGAGCACCTCCAGGGGCACCCGCTCGCCGTTCTTCACGAAGGTCGGCAGACTCACCAGGCTCGAGAACAGCTTGTCCGCGTCCTCCCGGGCCCCCACCTCCTCAACGGGCCCACCGTCCGGGCAGCCACCCCCGTGCAGGGTCTGGGCCGTGTTGGCCGAGCTGCTCGCCGAGAACGAGTCGTCCGCGCTCGAGCTCCGCTGATGGCCCGTCCGCAGCCTCTGCTTGCGCTCCTCCTCCAGCTGCCGGCGGAGCTTCGACTTGGGCCGGGTCCACTCGAGGTCCCTCATCAGCGCCCCGCAGACCGCGAGGTTCAAAAACAGGCCCGACAGGATGAGGGTCGTGCCGCGCCACCCGTACTCCTCGAGCAGCCTCTGGATCAGCGGTGGGAAGATGAACGTGCCGATCCCGCTGCCGCACACCGACAGACCCGTCGCGAACGACCGCCTCTTCTCGAAGTAGTACGCGACTATGACCACGGCTGCCACGAAGCACAAGGACAGCCCGAACCCGGCCAGCACCCCAAAGGTCAGGATCAGCATCTCCAGGGACGTGGCAAAGTAGCTGACGACGAAGCCCGAGGTAGCCAGTATGCTGCCGGCTATCGTGACCCTCCGGCACCCGTAGCGGTCGGTGAGGAAGCTGGCTATGGGCCCGGACAGAAGGGGCATGGCCATGAACAACGAGCCGATCCAGGAGGTCGTCGCCTTGCCCTCGCCAAAGTACTTGAGGAACTCGTGGTATATCACCCCGAACGAGAAGGTTATCCCGTCGGCGATGAGGTTGACCATGAACGCGGCGGCCACGACGACCCAGCCGTAACCCCCGTCCGGGGCCCTGGCCTCCGCTAGATTCTCCAAGCTGTCGTCCTCCTCCTCCTCCTCCGAGCTGCCCGACGCCGACGATATCGACGGACTGGTGGCCCCCTTCTTCGTACCCTCGCTCGCGTTCAATATGTTCCGGTTGAACTGCACGTGGTGCTGCTCCCGCCCGTTCCTCCCGTTCCCCTCCTCCGTTCCGTACAGCCCTCGCAGTAGCTCCAGTCTGGCGTCCCTCCTGATTTGCCCGCCGGTCTCCTCGTTGGCCGGCCCTACGGGCTCCAGTATCCGGTCGGACTCCCCGGCCTCGCAGCCCATCGGTTTGCCGGCCGGCGCGAAGCTCTCCTCGCTCGCCAGTATGCTTACAAGGTCCTCGCCGTGGCCACGCCGGCCGGCGCTCAAAGACCGGCGGACCGTTGGGGCGTCGTCCTCCCGCTGCCTCGTGAGAATGATCCTCGAGTCCTGATGCGGGAGTGTCTCGGCCGCGCGCTCCTCGCAGCCGTTCAGCATCGTCCAGTCGGCCATTTTCGGCGGAGACGCTACTCGTTACACTTAGCACGTCGCGCACGTAAACATCATCGCAAACACTATAATATATGTGTATATGTATCTCGGAAAGGATGAAAACAGAGGAGTTAATGGTAAAAACGGTTTTTCGTCCTCAGTACGGGTAAGAGCGCGGGCCACTCGTACAGTTGTCTCGCGAACTGTCGGCGCAACGGTGACAAGCCGTTGAAACTGCCGGCGTCATGGCCGACGTGGGACCTTGGGTGCTTCTGGTGTCTCGTTGACGCTTTGCTCTGGTGTTGGTGGGTTCGTCGTTTACGAGCCGATCCTGTGGACGACGACGACGACGACGACGACGATGGTTTTGTTCTTTTCAACGTGGTAGCCGCCACGACTGCCTCCTCCACCTCCGCCGCGGCACGACTGTCAGCCCAGGCACCCATGCGGCGAACGTGGCTTCCTCGGCTCTCCTAGGGTACGCTGCGAGTGAAAAGATGAGAGTTTTGGATAAGAGACAATCAAATTTTAATTTCAATAAAACATAAATAAAAAGACAATAAACTAGAAGAATGAATCACGTTAAAAAAAAAAATTTGCCGACAGTTGGAATCGATCCTCAGGTAGCAAAACAAGACTAGTAGTGGCATAAGCCCTTACTACCTTAGCTATCGAAACTTCAAGGAAAAGAGATCTTAAAGTCACATATGTTCATCGATAACCTCCAGAGCTTGTCCTACAGTTCATAACAATTATGATGAGGAAAAATAATTAACCAGTGTATATATAGCTGAACTGACATGCTTTAAAAAATTAGATGAACATTTTTTCAAAATAATACTGGATTTTAAATTAAGTATTAACGTACGGAAAAAAAAATGTTTTGATATCAAATTCTGTGCATATAATTATGAGTATTTAGTTTCACAATTTAGTGTAATGTAATATTGATAGATAACATTCAAGCAAGAGCGAGAGAGCAAGAGTAAGTTAACTATATATAGCATATACTCGGTTGCCGTCAAAAGAGAAAAACTCGTGTCGTCACTTGCTTTGGCTGTGCGTTCAGATATAAAGTCATAGTCAAGATTTCCACTCGTCTCCTCGTATAAGGCACACATTCGGTACTTATACCCCTTCTACGTGTCGCCAAAATGTGCGCCTATATGCTCATTTCCACGGGAATCCACTTCTCTTCTTGTAGGCACACGCTCTTCGATACGAGTCTCGCACTCTCGAAAAATGTACGCCTTGGTTCGACAGCTGGCCACGGCGGGTCACCCCGATCAGCGAAAAAAAGTTGTCTCACGCCGTAGCATTGGCGTTAGCAATCTCTCTACTCATTTCTGCCGGTAAGCGCCCCAAGTCACTGAGTGATAGGAACTTGTGTTATTTATGAATAATTATTCACTTAATAGAGTGGCCAGAAAGTTCCCCAGGTCATTGAGTAATACGTTCTTGTGTTATTTNCAGCAACGGCGCAAGAGAGACATGAGCCAGGTACATCGTATGGTGGCCCGATTTTTCAAAACGATAAAAAAAAAAAAAAAAAACAAAGAAAAGGTTCTGCACGTGACTGCACAAGTAGAGTCACGAGACAACATTCGGGGGATGACGCGCCCATTGTGTCGATTCAAAAGGCAAAAGAGCTCACAATTCGAATCGAAAGAAAGACGCAGATTGGCATCTCCTTCCTTCCTTTTTCCTTACTCTCGTTCGCCATACACATGTACACTCGCATTCTCTCTACTTTTTCTTTTCCTACATGAATCAATCAAGTGCCTATATACTTATTACGAGTAAGAACTTTCTGAACATTTTATAAACATCACGGACACGTGCACGCGTATAAAATTAAATTGCGTTTGAATCGCTACAGAGACTTTGGGATAACGAGTTGTGAGCTTTTACAGTTTTCGAGGAGAGAAAGAGTCCTAATTTCAAGGAGTACAAAAAAAAAAAAAAAAAATGAGAATGTCGTGGTCCGGGAGTTTTAGGGATGTATTTAATGTCTTATTCTCTTTTAGATGGGAAGAACTTTGAAGGGCAGTTGCGCGAAACTTTCGGTGGTAAAATTAAAACGACGATTATCTCGTATAAACTATTTTTCGAATTAATAATTATACCATCTAAAGAAAAGTTTACATAGTACATCATACGAAAGAGGGTTGGATATGCTTTGGAAAAAAAAAAAAAAAAGAAAAGAAAAAGTTCCAGTCGGGTAGTTGACAATGGCACTAACACGTTACATAATTAATCGTGAGAGCGATAGAGTAGCTTACACAAGCATCGGCCTACGTTTCGCCACTACTGTTGTGCGGAAGGTGCCTTTGATTGGGTTATTGGTGGTACAAACACGAACGCGTTTTGGACAAAAAAATAGTGATTCAACGAAAAAAAAAAAAATGTCAATAGTCAGGATGTTTTTTTTTTGCACCCATTCTTTAGGTGAGTTATCCAATACATGAGTCTTTTAATTAAAAGAGGCAGTAGTGCGATTCTGACACGTGAGGCGTGAAACGGAACAACTAAAAATTTACGAGAGCCAATGAATGGGTTATTATTGGGTTTTCGTGAGAGAATATTGAAGTGACTGCAAAGTTATACTGCATGAAAAAATTTGAATTTGTTCCCCATTACTATATATTTTTCGATAATGCACGTATGTATAGTACTTTTCATCTAATTTGTTTTTTGTTATTTTCGTACGTCATATTATTACCACAAAAAGCTTCACTTTATATGTATTCTCTGAATGGAAAATCTAATAAATTGCAGCAAAAGTCACAGATGAAAGTTTTTCTTTATCCTTTCAGGAAGTTCTGCGGATGGGACAACTTTCATGAAATTTAATTACAAAGAGATCGATACAATGAATTTATTGTGTTTAAAAACTTTTGTTTTTTTTACACTAAAATATTTTTAATACCCGTCATTTATGGTAGAATCAAGTGAGCTTTTCGGTACAAATATATAATGAGCATACGGTACAAACAACACGAGGAAACAATTTTTATTTTTTCTTTATTTACATCCTAATCGAAAACATTGTCACTGAAAATCCAAAACTTAATTTGAAATTAAATCAAAAACGGTCAGTTAAGCGACGCAGTATTGAAAAAAAAGGTGTCGCAATGAGGTATAAGTACAGAGAGAGAGAGACATTGTGTGCGTCACGTTCCGTTCTCTGGGGAGTATCTCGGGTCATTTTCGATTTTCCGCTAAAAAGGTGGAACGGCTGGCAAAGCGCCAGATGGCATTTGGTGCCTTTTACCTTCGTGAAACTAAATTCGTAGCGACGACACAACGGCACTACGACGGTAGTGGACCTATCAAGAAGAGTAGACATTTTACAAGTGACGCGTGTTTCTTTTTTTTTTTTTTTTTTCAGTTGAACTAGAAAAAAGTTCTTATATTGTAAATATATCGAAGAGGTTGTAAACAATTTTTTTTTTAATTTTAACTGGTTAGTATTACGCTAATTTTCATCCGTTCTTTAAATCCGTTAAACGACAATGGATATACGTGTGATACGATTTGATTTTTCACTGAATTTGACTGTGTACTTTTAAATAAAAGAGGTACTTTGCGTCTTGGCCCCGCGAATCAAAAATTTTCCTTGGCCAAATGTTCCGATGAAAGTGCATTTAACTTGAGCCACAACACACCCATTGACGTAATTCAGGCTTTATTGGAACAAACTCAAATTGCACGATTAATTAAATTACGCTGAAATACCTGATGGCACACACGTGATAGAACCATCAACGCGTTATCGCTGAAATAGAAAGAATTGAGAGTTTCTCGAAATAAACTTTTTCTCGCTGACGATGAACTCAAGCTCTTTTTATCGCACGCGTATGTACACACGCATACATGCGAATATAATGCCGAGGTGTCCTTCCGCACGCGCATATATGATTTTTTTTATTTTCGTTCCCGCATATTTCTGCGCGCACAATGCCGCGACCGTCAGACTGTTATTATTTTTTCGAGATGAGCCGTCATTAAGAGCGGATTTGCACAAAGTGCGCTTTCTTTTTCAACAAAAGGCTTCTACGTCGCGTTTTTATCAGTTTGGATTTTTTTTTCTTTTTTTTCAAAGTAGCAAATGATAAAAAGTCCTTGGTTGTACTTTCACATATTGAGGTATAATCACGGGACTTTTTTTTTAAATTACAAGTTTGAAAACAAAAAAAAAAAAAAACAAGAAAAATATTTTCTTTGGGAAAAATGTCTCGCCTCTGTTTTTCCAAATGTCCCGCAACAAATTCCCGTACTCACAGTCGAGAAGCTCGTCGGCGTCGAAAGCGTCCATATCGAGAATGAATAAGATAATTACGGGCAGGCGGGAAAACCGCGAGTGCATTACGTGTATACTGTATAGGCCGAGAGAGGGATAGTCAATAATCTCGTTCCTCTCGGCAGACAGACAGCTACTCGCTCTATCTTGAGCCTTTCGAGTGGAGACGACTGTGTTGTCAAAGAAAGGGGGGGGGGGGCAAAAAAGGTGTCCCAACAAGTCGAGCGGTTACTCGAGACACGAGCCGAAAAACCGTTTGTCGATAAGTCGCAAAGGGGGAAAAATAAAGAGAGGAGCAATCGTGCCTCTTTTTTATTTTTCCTCGATTGAGTTTATTTTTCAAACAGATATGCGCGCGACAGTGTATATTATTATAACGGCACGAGCACTTTCGTTCGGAGATAAAAGATAATCCGCAAAGTTGCGCGAGAAAGCGTTTGTTGAAAGCGCAAACGGAGGGGAGAGAAAAAACCCACTCGCGATAAGATGCCATCGGCAGAGCGTACATATACATATAGGTATAATGTGCACCCGCGTATGTGCGCGATAGTACCTACTTTTATTTTTTGTATGTATATCCGCTTGTCCTGAGGTGAGATTTCAGGTGTTAAGGTATTACACATTATTGTTCGGCGATTGAATATACTAAATTATTCCTAAATCGATATCATCCCGAGAGTCGATACGCGGATTACCGATCAACGCGACTACACTTATAGGCTGATAGGTGCGAGTAAATGCCAAGATAACGCGTATCATCAATCACGTGCACTCATATAAACATGCCATAGGTGTGTGAAGTAAGCGTACAACGTATGTTATATTATATGTTATACATAGTATATATATGGTATAAGTAATCGAGTCAATAAATCAAAGTATCTAAAAATAAATGCAAAGAGCGTGTGCTCGAAGTACATTGTATGCAAAGTATACGTGTGCTCAAGAGAATGTAAGGAAGAAAAAAAAAATTAAAAAAAAAAATAATAATATTCAGAAATATAAGTAAAATAGATCAACGATAATTATTTTCCGTGAATTCAACAAAAATCTATGTAAAACCCGCGACATGCAACTTTATATTATGTAATTTTTAAATGTATGTACCCTCCACCCGGAACAACCCGAGTACAAATGTGAAGAAAAAAAAAAAAAAAAAAAGTTGGAGGGAAGTACCTCT